CCTTAAAATTTGAACTAATGACATAGAAAATCTGTTCTTTAAAATTATGAAAGAAAATTTCCCAAATATTGACATAAACAACAGCCAGGTACAAGATATAGAAACTCAGACATGAGCACAAAGGAACCTCTCGACATATATTATAGTTAAATTATCAAATGGAATGAAGCAAGTAAGAAGGAAGTGAGAAAGGGACGAAGAGACAGGGAACTTAAAATTGGAAGAGAAAAATGTCAGTTCATAGAAGCAAACATGTCCAAATAATAGATATCTTAGAAGAACCTCTGAAATCCAGGAGAGCATGGAACAGCATCTTTAAAGGCATGGATGAAACTAACTCCCAGTCTAGGTTACAACAGCCAGAAAATCTACCCTATAGAATCAGAGAAAACACACCCTGACTAACTCTCTAAGTTGAGATCTGTGAACTAAGCAACTACATTGAGGACAGCAATGTGTAATACTAAAACCATGCTTGAAATACCTGTCATCTTTGTCTTCTAAATGTGTACCATTTCTAATGTCATATCATTTATGACTATACTCTCTTCAATGTAAAATTTTTTAAAAGTAATAAAAGAAAATGAGTGTCATAAACAAAAATTTAAGATTTCTTGAAAGCATGTGGTAATACTCAGTCATATGACCCATCTTGCATAACTATATCTATTAATCTAAGCAATAGATTTGACAGTAAAAATAGATAATATATCAATTACTGTTGATCAGCTATTCTTGTTTTGAAAATCTCTAACATATGTATTGTTACATGTTACCCTGCTTCTGTCTTTGTTTTTGTTTTTCTTGCTGTTGTTTTTGTACTTCAAAACAAAAGAAAATTATGACTAAAAATCAGAGAAAACACACATTCTAAGATAGGCAGAAACTAAAGGATTTCATGACCACTAAGAATGATCAGGATTTTCATCTCTCTCAGATGACAGTTAAGGTGGATGTATACATCTTAACAATCCAGAACTTCTTTTGGGTATACAATTAGCAGAATCTCTTCCATATACACAGGGGATGTACTTGTATGAAGTGTTTGTAGCAACGTTGCTCATTATGGCAAAATGCTGAAAGAAAGTGGGGGAAAGAGAAAAACAAGAAGAGAAAGAGGGAAAGAGAGAGGAAAAAGAGAGAGAGGAAATGAAAAAAGGAAAGAAGGAAAGGAAAGTAAGGGAAGGGAAGGGAGGGAAAGAGGAAAAGGGAAAAGAGGAAGACAGGGAATAAGAGAAGGGAAAAAAAAACGGTCTTTGGAAATACAACAGCTCAACTCAGACAAATTCATTCCTGTAAACCCTTCTAGCTTCTGCAGCTTGTGTCAGATACCTGGGGTCCCCTGAGCAAGATATAACTTTTTGGTTTTAAGGCCTCTTGCCAATAGCCCTGCCCAAGGAACATGAGAGAAACTTCTGTAGTGAATTTCCTGTCATATAATTAGACTGACAGAGGAAGCATCTTCGAGGGCAATCAGCCCTGCCCAAGGAACACGAAGATAGCTTCCCCTGTAATGAGGCAGGAAACCCTGAAAAGGCTCAGCTCACCTGGGCTGTATGAAGTGGATATAGTTAATTAAGGTCTTAATATGTGTCTCTATGCCAAATCTGGTGGATCCCAGTAAAAGGAATCTAGCATATTTGCATTAGGTTTTACCTGTATGATTAGCTGGGTTTTGGTATCTTCTAGGAAAGAACAAATTTACTGAGAGATTAGAACATGAATTATCAAAGCATGAGCATTTGAACTTACACACTGACTTTTAGACCCCTTTATTTATAATCTGACAGTTTGCTGTAAGTCTCTCTAGCTTTCGTTAAGCGAGATCACACCTGTATCTATCAGCTTGAAATATCTGAGTTACATTAGCAATCAACTAGGCTTACATACTCATAATGAAATACTCAGTATTCAGTCAGATTAAACCAATGTCCCATTCAGTGTTTTGGAAGTGGCCCCCATTGTAAGCAAGGGGCACTGCTCTGCTCTTAACCTCCATTTGTTCCAAAAACTCATTCTTCAGTTTTACAGAACATGAACTCATCCCGGGTACCTCTCAGGTTGGGAGTTTCATTTTCCCCTATTTCAGCATCATCAAGAAAAAGTAACTTAGGAACAAGTTTAACTGAAGAGTTGGAAGATTTGTGTACTGAGCAGTATGAAACACTGATGTATACTCAAGATATAATCCTAGAACCCTGGATAGGCAGTATCTCCGAATCAAGCAGGGCTTTCCCTTTCACAGTAGGCTTCTTCCTCAAAGTTCTCATCAGTTTGTCTTTTTAAAAATTTGTTTTAAAGACAGAAGAGTAATAATTGATAGAACATTAGAAATGCTACACATTTAGAAGACCAAGATGGCAAGTATTCAAGCATGATTTTTGTGTGATACATTGCTAGCCTCAATGTAGTTGCTTACATCGCAGATAGTGACATACAATTAGTGAAGGTGAAAGTTCTACACAGTAAATGCTATTTCTTTCATTTTTTTAAAAAAATAAAGTTTGTTAGATCATAATGTTGTCTGAAGTTACCACCTTTGTCAAATCAACATAAAGCATCCATTGTTAAATGGCTATTTTGAAAATAACAAAAATTTAAGGATTTGGAAAGCAAGAGGTAACATGCAATCATATGTCCAATCTTATATAACTATATCTCTTAAGCTGAGCAACAGATTTGAACTATATGAAGATCAATATACAATATTAATTATTGTAACCGTCCTACTAACCTGTTTTTAAACTGTTTCATTGCTATTTTATCTTTTTTCTCAGTAAAATAAATTTTAAAATTTTAAAAAATAAAATAAATTTTTAGGCAGAAATGAGTGAAATGTCATTATATAATAAATAAATAAATGTTGACTGTATCCTATGGATAACCCACTACTATTATGGACTATTGAACCATATTAGATTGTTTTGTTGAATTTGTGTACCTACAATATTTATTTTTTAAAAAAAATAATTTTGAAAAACAAATAGCAATGAGACAGTTTCAAAACCAATTAGTGGGACCCTAATCAGTTTTGAAACTGTCTCATTGCTATTTGTTTCTCAATAAAGTTAATACAAAAAAATTGGTAGGAATCTCACCCTGGCTAACTATGTATGCTGATACCTGTGAACTAGGCAACTGCACTGAAGAGAGTAATGTGTAATACGAGGGTCATGCTTGGAATGCCTGTCATTCTGGTCTTCTAAATGCGAACTGCTTGTCATGTTATATCAATTACTGCTATACTGTCTCTCAAGTAAATGTTTGTTTTTTTTAAAAAAAAAAAAGGTAATAAATGAAAACAAGAGACAAAAAAAATGTTGGCTGTAAGAAAATAAAGCCATAGCACAATATCTACATATGCATATACTTTAACTATATGCTATAGAAATTATTTTGCATAGTTTTTCAATAGTTTTGAAATCATTAAAGATAAATTTCCAATAAACTGAGTAAAAATACTGCTACATTTTTAAATGTTCCAGTGGCTTACAGGTCTCAGGAATTGACCTGTCACAGACACTAATACGAATTATACTTCCACTAAATATTACTAGGCAGATCACTATTTACTATGTCTCTCTTGAAGTTTAGTTTCCTTCTATATAAACAAATGCTTCAGTAGAAGGAAATATGAGTATGGAAGTCTCTCTTACAGTAATCAGTTTATCACATGAACTAAAATACCTTTCCTTGAACACTAGCAACTTCTCAAGGACTAAAGAAAAACACCATGCTACCTGAGATAGAAACATAGCATACCACACTTACGTAGTGGGTTTCAGAAATATGTATTTTTCATTTTAAAAAAATACAGTTGCAGTAACTCTGCTGAAATCCTGTTAGAATACAGGTTACCTGTATTTCCTGCTTCTTACCTGGTCATTATTTAGCCCACACCCAGAGAAGCTGAACCCCCTGTTCAAAACAGACTGATCACCCATAATCTTTGCACCACTGGGTGACCACTTTTTAGTGGTCTCTACATTCACTGTCATGCATAATACTTAGCTGGCCTGTCTAGGACCTGGAAGGTTCCACTCAGTTCTCTGTTCACAGTTTAAAACATGTATCTGATCTGTCTAGATCACTGCCCTGGCCTTTTCCACCAAGGCATCTCATTTCATTTTGTGACCAGGGATTGTCACTTTGAGAACATGACCATTGTGTGCCTATTTGTAGTCACTCTATAGTAACTAAAAATATTCTGGAATAATATAAGAAATTAAACTCCTTGTGAGAGTAGGTGAGGGAGGGATTGGGAAATGTTGGTCAGTGGATACTAAGTTATAGAAAAGAAGAAGAATTATTGATGTTTTACTGCACTTAGGGTGTCTACAGACAATGATAAAGTGCTACGTGTGTCTAAAATACAGGAAGAGGTTTCTGAATTAGCACAAAGAAGTGACAAGTTTTGGAGGAAACAGATTGGTGTTCCTCCACCTGAGTATTCTGACACATAAATAGTACCATGTGTCAACTAAAATTAAATGACAAGGGGGCTAAGAATAAATGTAAAACAAGATTGTCAACTGAAGGACTAATGAAAATAAATTTTATGTTCTTTACAAAGTTTAAAATAATGTCATGAACCTACCTCAGAATTATTTTTATTACCTTGAGAAAGGATAAAAGATTGCTTTAAAAAAAAAAAAAAAGGAATGCACAATCCAATAAAAAAGGCCAAAAGTAGTGACTAGATAAACATTGAAGAGGCTAGAGATATAGCTCTGTGGCCTAAACACTTGTTTGATAAACATTGAGCTATTTATAGGATGAAAACTATGTAAAAAGAAAAATGTACAGAATAATATACAACAATATACAGAAACCTTCCACTAAAATTGAAGGTCAACAAGAAAATTACAGACAAAACGTAAAACTAGGGCTGAAAATTTGGGTCACAATCAGAGACAATAAGAAGCGGCAACTCATTAGGAAGGGATAGACTTGTGCATTTGACAAGGTGTCACATTTCATTGAGGCCAAAATAATGCACATCACACTGAAAATATTGCTCTACTGAGTAGATGTTTCAGAGCCCCTTTCATATCCCGGTTCCTCAGACTGTAGATAAAGGGATTCAACATGGGTGTGACCACACTGTACAACACAGTCACAATGACATCTTTCTCATTAGTGTTATTAGATGAAGGGAAAAAGTAAATAGCAAAGATTGTTCCATAGTAGAGAGAAACCACACAGAGGTGAGAACCACATGTGGACAAGGCTTTGCAGATTCTCTTGATTGAGGGAGACTTCAGTATGGTGGCCCCAATGTGACCATATGACAACAGAATACATATAAGTGGTAGAGTTAAGACCACAGTTCCCAGAATGAGGATGACCATCTCATTGATGGTAGAGTCTGAACTGGACAGCTTGAGCAGGGCAGAGAGGTCACAGAAGTAATGGTGGAGAGTGATGTCTCTAGCAAAAGAAAGAAAGGATAATAGAATGGTATGCACAAGGGCGTTGGCAACGGATAACCCCCAGGACACAATTACTAGCAGGAAGCAGCGTCTCTGACTCATGATGGTGGAGTAGTGCAGGGGGTGACAGATGGCCACATACCTGTCATAAGCCATTGAGGTGAGAAGAAAACTGTCAAGACCTGCAAATAACACAAAAAAGTATACCTGGGAAATGCACGCAGCATAAGAGATGGATTGACTGTGTGTTAGCATATTCATGAGCATCTTTGGGGCTGTGACTGATGAGAAAGAGATGTCGGTGAGAGCCAAGTGACTGAGGAAGAAGTACATGGGGGTGTGGAGGTGGGAGTCCAGCCTGATGAGCAGGATAATGAGCAGGTTCCCCAGCACTGTGGTCAGGTACATGACCAGGAAGAGCGCGTAGTACATGCCCTGCTCTTTCAGCCTGATGGGGAGTCCCAGGAGGATGAATTCAGACACACTGCTCTGATTATTCCTATTCATCGTCCTCCTCCTTGTCCTCTTCCTTCTCTTCCTCCTCCTTCTGCTCCTCTTCTCTCTCTTTTTTCTCTTTTTCTGATCATTAGAAAGAGGGATGACTGTGTGAAAAGTGAGACATCATTGTGACTTTTCCATAATGAACACTTGTTTTGGACTAAGAAGAACATGTGTTTTAACCTCAACTAGTCCTACTGGGCTAGTATGGGAAAAGACTAAGAAAACATTTACCAAGAATCATTTATTAAGAAAACAGCTCTATAAGTTTGGATAAGCAATGAACAAACATCATAATGGTTATCAGAGCAATCTAGGAGTAGGCCAGAAGCTCATGATGAAAATTTGAGATGGGGTATTTGGGTCCCCACCTGATCAGCAATGAGTTAGCAGAATATCTACTAGATGATCTGTAATGCTATAGTGAGCCCTTTTAACCTTTTTGGTACTGTTGATCATACTTTCGTTGGTGTTATTTGCCTGGACAGGATCAAGACAAGAGCACTGAGTTCACAGCTCTGAAGCTGCAAATATTAGGATCTGGAGATCTGGTGGCATTATCACACAGAGGGAGTTGAGGCAAGGCCGCAAAGGAGAGGAATCTATATTAGTATCATAAAATACCTAAAGACATACTTTATACACATCCCACAGTTCTTCCTTTAAGAAAATTGTTTTCTCACTCAACATTTCCATTCTGTCCTTGCTTTTCTAAGGAACTGACATGAAACGTGTCTAAAATGCCTCTTTCATGTTAACACAATCTGTATGCCATCAGCTCAAACCAAATTATCCTATTCAACTCCTTACAACACCAAGATGTTCTAGACTTTGGCTCTGTTAAAGAAGTTTTTTTGTCTTCTAGCTAAAAGAGATAACATGTTCTTCTTTTTAGTGATTCCAAATATAAGGTTAATGCCAAGGATTCTTATCTATCATATTTTGTTATATTTCTATTGTTTCCTGTATATCACTAATTCTATCTTCCTTCTTTTTATCTCTTTTCCTCTTAGGCATAACCATGTGTGCAATAAAAAGAACAGGAAAACAGAACATTATTGCTGCTAAAAGGTAGAATTAATAATCTATATGAAGACTTATACAGACTGAAGGTCTTGTTTTTGGGGGCTAAGAGCTGCCTCACTGTCTGTCCAATCATTCATTTGAGTAGTGAAAAAAAGTTTGCATTGGTATGCCCATTAGCCTAACTTCACTGAAAATATCTTAAAATTCCTACATTCTTTGTCCCACTATGTTAAATACTGTTATGTGGTGCTGCAACATGAGATGAATTATAATTCAGTTATGATATTCATTACTATCTCAATAAGAATCATTTGCTCACAATGAAAATGGTAATTGGCCGCCTGCTTAACATGTGGATGGTTTCCAACTGCAATACTGCCATTTCAAGCAATATTACTATAAGCAACATTTTTCTCCTATCACTTTGAGCAAAAGTATGCATGTAGGATTCATTCCTAGAAATAAAATGAATAGGAATATATATCCATGATTTTGATAGATTTTCAAATTGTAAGAGACCAAGTCTACAAGGAAGCTCATTTGTATGTGTTGTTTAAGGGCACTCATGCTTATAAGAGCATGTCCTGTGAAGATCATAAAAATAGGTCTTCTAGTGAACCATTCAGAGAGGACAGAGCTAGTGCATTTGAGTAACAGAAATAACTCAAGACCACGATCAGCTGGAAAATGAGAAACCCAAAGTGATAACATCACCTCAGATGTAACAGAATGCTTTCTCCAATTCTAGAACAATAATACACATAAGAAAAAAGCATTTAAGTAAAGAAGTGAATACAACTTCAAGTGGCTTTATGGAAGTTATAGCCAGAAAAAGGGATCAGCAGGAATCTGAACAAGAATTTATTGTAGTATGGGGTACACATTAGTACATCACTATGCCTACATTGCGGCATTGGAAATGAAGGGCATATTTGGTACAACAATTGGAGGAAAATCCAAGACTTAATGGGAATTTAAAGGTAAGCAAGTGGAGGCAGGTTTTTCTTCACCTATCAGAAATAGCGAATGCTTAAATATTTTGTACTATGAATTTTTCCCTCTTTTGAATTTCTTATAACTTCTTTGTTATTGTTTTGTTTTCTTTAAATGAATCTTACACATTTATATCTGGTAATCAGAACAACCAATTTGAAGATAGCATCACGTAATACAGCAACCATTGTCGAATTCCTATCACTTTATTTAGTGAAATTTTGTATCACTCTAATGTTTTCTTTCTATCACTATTTTGTATTCTTTAAAAATAAAAAAGAAAATACTTACATAAATAGGTTGAAAGGAATTATTTTTCATAGAAATTTATTTTCCTCTGTGATCTCAAAATATGGATACTTTTAAAATAAATAACTTCAATGGAGTTTTGTGCCATAACATTGTATAAGGACAGGCAGCATCTAGGGCTCTAGAGCATACGCTGGGCATACAACACAAAAACTTTTAAAAACCATACAATCATATTATTTAATGTAAATCCTACTTGTGCTCTGACAAAGTCCCTCAGATGACCAGCACAGATACCTTCGGCTACAAGACATGGACAGGTCTTTCCATTCCTTTCTAGAAGACACAGAATGCAGTGTCACAAGTGGAGCTTCTAAAAGGCTCAAAGTTCTGTTGCAACAGGCAAAGAATTATCGGTGGAAAACCACACCACGCAGATATAAGGGTACACATTTGCTCACACCTTCTGCAACATAGGCATGAGTTCTAAGTATACAAGTCACGCAGAGGACCTTGGGGGAAATCTCCAAACACAAGGTCCAAATTAGAGACAAACAAGATAAAACTGCTTCATTGTGTGCAAGTCCCTTGGGGAGGAGCTGCTCACTGAAGCAGGCAAAAGAGAGCTCATCCTTGGAGGAATGACGATAATAACCAAAGGGCGGTTATTACCAACTTTTTAGTTCACAGAACCTCTTGCCGTCTCAATTTACTTTGTGAAAAATGTGGCTCAGCATCCATAATAAGCCAAGCTGGAAGTAAAATGTGATAATAAAAGTCTCTAGCTATTTAAAGTCCTATGTTACTTCAAGAACACTAGAAACACTCTAATAGCTTCACTCTATAACCGCAGAGATAGCTCAGCCATCTAAGCGCCTGCCTAGGCAAGCACAAGAATCTGGGTTCAATCTCCCATACCGCATGCTGTGCGGGTGGCGCACCAAGCTGGCCACAGGGATCGGGCGTGGTGGTGCATGCCTGCAATCCCAGCGCTGGGGAGGCTGAAAACAGGAGGAGCTCTAAGAGGCTGAGCTGTGAAGTGAGACTCTGTACCACATGTCTTAAAAAAGAAAGAAAAAGAAAAGAAGAATTACAGTGTTACATGGCCGTGCCACAGCATGCTATATACATTTGGGGTATACACGAAGAGCGGGATAGCCAGGTCGTAGGGAGCACGCTTTTACCTCCTTTGTAAAGAACGAGAGCCAGATGGCTCCAGTCGTGCCGTGTGCTTTACGTGCCTTCCATTTCATTCCACTGTGCTACCAGTGACTTTACTATGTTGGTTTTTTGTTACCGTGGCTTTGTAGCATAACTGAGCCTTCCTATTTGGCTTAGATTGACCTTAGGTTTTCTGGATATTTTGTTCTCGCATAAATTTTAGGATTGTTTTTCTAGTCCTGCAAATAATGTCACTGGAATTTCAACTGGCATTGCCTTGAATCTCTGCATCACTTGTGGTTGTATGGACACTATAACAATATTGATTAATTCTGTCACGCCATGGGCATGGGAGGTCTATCTTTTAGTATCTTCATTTCCTTCTTTTTTCTGCCAGCATCAGATATATTTATTTATAAGTCTTTATCAAGTTAATTTTCATAAACATAGATTAATATCCAAACTAAGAGACCAAAAATGAGTCAAACACATAAAACAATTATAACTAATTTCCACAGTAGCTGCACCAGCCCAAACTCCCACCAGCAGTGGAAAGTCCTCAAAAACTGAAACTAGTTTCATTTGGCCCAGCGATCCCCTTCTTGGTATCATCCCAAAGTATTTTTTTAAAAAATGTATTTGGTTGTTACAGGGTCTCACTATGCAACTCCGACTCATGGTGATCCTCCTGCATTTGGCCTCCTCAGAGCTGGGATTGCAGCATGCGCCACTACTCCAGGACTCTGGCCCTGCCCTGGGGGCGGGGCTGATGCAGCATGTGGTGCTGGGGATCAAACCGTGGTCCCTGAGCTTGCCTAAGCTTGCCAAAGCAGGCTCTTTAGTTCACTGAGCTATCTCGCTGGTCCCCAAAAGTATTAAAAGCATAATCCCACAGCAATATTTGCGCAGCCATGTTCATAGCAGCAGTTTTTTAATAGGCAAATCTTGTAAACAACCCAAATGCCCATCAACTGGAGAATGGATAAAAATGAGGCAGTATTTTTATACAATGGAATACTACTCAACCATAAAGAAGGATAAACTTGAGGCTTTTCTAGGTACATTCATACATCTTGAGATCGTACTCTTAAGTAGAAAAAAATCAGACACACATACGTGAATACTGCATAGTTTCTCTGGTATGAGAAACCAAAAGTGTACATAAGGTTATATAATAGGATTTATGAGAACATATAATAGATATTGTGAAATAGAGGTAAAATGTTCAATGGGAAAAGAAAGTAAGGAGGAATAGGATCTCAAGTTCGCATCCTGAGCGAACTAGGAAGAATGTGTGCAGTGTGTTAATTATTGAAACTGTCCTACCGATTTGATTTGAAACTGTCTCATTGCTATTTGTTTATCAATAAAATTATGGCAAAAAAAGAAAGTAAGGCGGGGGTAAGGTAAAGAAGAAAGAAAAAATGAAAAGAAGGCTTTTATAAATGAGGAAGGGGAGAGGAGTTGGAGGGAAGGGAGGGGAATACTTTAAAAAAGAAAGTTATAAATCATACACAGGTACAAATTCCCTATGATGAATGTGATCATTATATCTAAAATGTGCCAATAAAATTTATTGATTTAAAA